TTAAATGGCATACTTGTATTGGCTAGAAAACAGCTTATTTGGAATTCGTTAATAACGGTTTGTATTATAATAACAGAATAATTATTTTCGTCAATAACTTGGAGCAGATGATACTAATATATAGTATGTATTTACGAGAGTTGCCTTTTATATGATAACTCATTCGTTGCCAGATCAGGACTATACGAATTTTGACTCATCAAATCGATGCTTTGAGTCCTTAACAATGCAGTTGTTTCCGTCGATGTGTGAGAGCTCGCATTGTCGGCGGTATTCGGCGGTTGGTTTTTCAGATTTCATGAAATTTTGAATGAACAAGGTGCGTTCCAAAATAAACTTTTTGATTCTAGCGCCCCCTGGTGGTCATCTATATGTCGACTGGTGCGTTAGAATCTGCTATCTTCAAGTTATTGCGTTTTAAGTGTCAGTATCTATATATTATCGGTGCGAAAATGAGCTTCGAATAAAGAGCCAACATTAAATTTTGTTTTAAAATTGTTTAAACTTTTAGCGAAACGTTTCAATTCATGAAACAGATTAATGGCGATGATTGAATATCCTGTAGCAGAGTGAATGGAAGACATCGGACAAGCCAAAACCCAAAAAAAACACGCATGGAGAAGTCAAAAAATTATTCCAAGGATATTGTCGACAAAGAATTGGTTCCATCCGGCCAAAACGTTAATGTGGTATTCTACCATGGAGTTCTGAAGTGTTTGCTGCGCCGTAGACGTGTACGGCCCTAATACCGCGAAGCTGAAAGTTGATATTTGTTGCACGATAATGTGCCGTAATAATAATAAGCGACGCGTGTGACCGATTATTTGGTCAAAAATAGCATTTTAACCATTAACCACTCCCCGTATTCACCTGATATGGCACCGTATGACTTTCTCCTTTTCCTAAAAATGCGTTTGCGAAAAATCCATTTATTGTGTTTTTTAAGTCCTGTTTACTTTGGAACCCACCTTGTATAAAAATTGCAAAACATAGTTCTCAGAATGATAAAAAAAAACCAAATATTTATCTCTGCTGAAATAACAGCAAAGTAATTTAAACAACGTTAGCGTCGAGAGAGCTACCGTAAACCCAAGAAAGAGCAAAGTGAGCCACCCTTATAGGCTGAAGGGTAGAACTATGTAAGTTTCCCTAAAAGGCTTTGAGTTGCACAAGGACACAATACAGACAACGGCCTATCCAACTTTTATGTAAACAAAGATTCACATCGCCGAAGCAGTTTTGGAGTTTGGTTAAGATTTGTTGCGAAAAAATAAATTATAAAGCTTTAAATTACTTAGAACAAAATTTTAAATATATCCCTTTGTACCAGTTTAATATCTTAAAAAAGCTTGTTCAAATGAAGAGCTTTGCAAAAAACGTTTGCATATAATATTATAAAAGTTGAGCATGGATAACTAAGCCCAACCAAAACCTACGCCGTACTTTGCACCACACAGCCAGTTACAAAGCAATTTCTCATCGAATTGAGCTCTCAGTTGTATCTATTTCAGTCGCTGTTATGAATAAAACATGTTCTGCAATTTTCATTGAGTTGGCCCAAATATTGGCGGGAATATCCAGCATAAAGTGACCTATAAGTTCGAAAATCTTTATATAAGGTATATGGAGGCTATTGCTACTTCCCACCCAATTTTTAATACAAAGAAATAATGTTGTCAGGAAAAGATTCTGTCTGAATTTTTACTGCGTATCTCACATAACAGGTATTGCGGAATTATTACCGCAAAATTTCATTCCGTTTTTATCAATTATTTCTTAATTTTTTAGTGGAAAGTGAAAGTTTTAAATGGAATTTTAAATTGTGTTATATGGGAAATAGTTGTGATTGTAGTCCGATGTCGCCCATCCACACTGTGACATAGAAATATTAAAAGAAAATTTAGTCGAAAACCGTCTGTATAATCTTCACACCGGTTCCAATAGAACCCCCTTAAAGCATCTATATACCACCCGTCTTTAATTATTCATATATGCAACTAATTTTATGCAAGTGACCAACCTAATTCAACGCGCTTTTTTAAAGAGGGGAAAAGTTGGGGAAAATGTTTAAGCGTATATGTCAATTGGAAACCTTATAGTAAAATTAATTTAGTTTTTTTGATCATTCATTGTTTTCCCGAAAAAAAAATAATACATTAACTAAATTAATCTTTTATTATTAATATTAACTACATACCATGTTGTCCAGAATCCATAAAAAATATTTTCTAGAATTCTCTTCGCGCAACAAAAAATACCACTTGTAATTTCGAGAACAATAGAGAGTATCGCGAATAAGGACGTGCGTACTGAACGATGCCTCGGTTCCGACTGCTTGTGTGGCAATATCGGTGGCTGAAGGTCAATAATTTATTGTAGCATGGTTACTTAGGTACTACTAAAAACATATTTTGAGTAGCATCACTGAAGTTTGTAATTCCCCCTTGTTGTCCGTTTTCTGTAGGAAAATGTACCTATATGCGTCGGTCTAATCTCACTCCCCCAAAATTTCGAATATTCAAATATATCAAACACTCCGCGTGCCCCACAGATACTCTAAAACGTATTAGATTGATTTTTTTTTTGTGCAAAGGTACTATATTTGACGAATTTTAGTTTGGAAATTCAATTTGTTCCTCAGTTACAATTCAGAGTTTAGAAAAAAGTGTACTGGTCCTTTAGAAGATTAGAGATTGCAATTACCATTCAACTAATTTCGAACCAATTTCAGTGAATATTTGCTGACATGAACTCAGATCTAAAGTAAAGTCTTTGTCGAGAGAGGACTGTACTTATCAATTTCCTTTTAGTCCGAAGTAGCATCCGTTGGCAAGATTTATTCTGCGTTCGATTTCGAGGCTGACACTGTCGTTGGTTGGTCGCTAATACTGGTTCCAAGATAGGCGAAATTATCTACGACTTCGAAGTTATCAAAACCATTTGCTTCGCTTCGCTTCTTGTTTTGCGGGGTACCAAGTTCAGACAAAGCGGCATAGAGGCAGCCCCTTTTCGTGCTGTGAAAAGCAGCTTTGAAAACGGTGAAGAGGTGGTGTGTGCCATGGGAATATTTGCTTAATTGTTGGTTTTCCATGCTGAAATGCTCTCTGATTAAATCTTTTACACAATACGCTCAATAGAATTTTAAATGCGATATTGAAGAGGCTTATCTTAGGGTTGTTGGGCCTCCAATTTTGTGGATTAGACAGAAAACACTTAAGTCGCAATCGTCGGGCAACCTTTCAACACAGATGCTGATGCATGCTCCTTATCAGTTCTTTGCCGCCGTTCTATTTTTTATTTTTTTGTCTGCAAATGTGTCTTCCCTCTTCAGCTGTCGATAACTAAACCATCCCGTACGTATTGTAGTTGATTGTAACTTTGTGATATAAAAACTCTGCTTTCTCTCCACTGTGACACGCCATTTCTCCATATCAGCTGTTCTTATGCCTTTTTCGAAAGCCAATGGTTTCGTTTGCAGCTGTACGTAGGGAGCTTGAGATCCCTCAGTTCCCTTGTACCGAGTCTTTAGTCACATCGTCCTTCTCCTCGTTCAGGCGTGTGCACCCGGGTGATGCGGATTGTGGCTAGACGTGAATTCTAAAATTTGTCGATAGAGTCTCTCTCCAACTTCGAAACCTATGTACATCGAATTTGAGCTCCTTTATATAGCCACTGTAGTAAATGCCACCTACTCGTCTCAATCCTTGTTTAGTATATTACGCGTTTCTTGGATGGCAGTGATGTCAGCCTTTACAATGAGACATATAATGAGACATATTAAACTGTGCAGTGGCGTCTTCGTAATTAAGGGATCCGATATTCCAGGTGCATGCCTTTAAATCGTAATCCTTAAACCATTTGCAGTGGCCATCACCAAAAGCGGAGTCACTCATGCTAGGCTGTTTTCTTCCTGTTAGTGGTAGTGTTTTACGTGGCGGGTTCCAAACTCAACGTACCGTCCTGGCTACGAGAGATTTCACCTTCTCACGTTATCTTGGCTTCAAATGGATGTTTTTGTCTATCTTGAGGCGAGCTAGCGACTAGTCCGCTCTGTGGCAGTGTTCAAAATGACGGGACCAGAACCATGCAACCAACACTCTGAAGTGGCTGCTCCGCACGGAGGAGAGTGTGGAGAGAACACAGCACTGGCAGCAGGCAGGTACAACCTCTCTAGGCTTAGGGAAATAACTAACTTCCCCTGTGATAAATTCCGCCTCCTCGTCGCGCTCTACACAGGGCTCTGCAGCTTCAGGAAGCATTTTTCCAATATGGTCATAGTCTCTTGCGCAAACTGTCAAATTTACGACTTGGAACAAGAAACACCAGTATACCTGATTGTGGATTTTCCAGCAATTTGCAGAAGCAGCCTTAAAGCCTTGGGTTCCATCAAAATATTATATTTTTTTCCCTAGTATAGGTTGACAGCTGCAACCAACTGTCATCCGCTCGTCCATACTAAGCTCAGTTTCTATATAACACTCAAGCTGTGAACACGTGTTATAACCTCTCTGCGACAACAAAAAGAAATTCGACACTCCGAAAGTTTTTTTTCAACTCCGTGTACAGTTGATTTTTTTCACATTTTCCAATAAATTCATACAGGTAAATATGTTTATAATATTAGTTGAGCCTTTAGCCTTCGACACACAAAAAAATTTTTCGCGAATTTACATTATGTTCATTATCCACCGCCATTTTGCAAATATGAGCGTTTGGGGAATCTCGGGGCACTTATTACGGGGAATGTCGGGGAATGTTTTTTACATTTGACATGCTAACTTCATATATTTGACGTGTATAAGTGATTTTTCGTGCACAATAGTTTTTCAACATTTCCTGATAGTTTCGTGCTCCGAAAAATTTTTTTTAGTCATTATGCMGMGGTACTATCCCAAACAAGAGAAAATTGTTGATTTCGACAACATTTTGGAGGCGATCAAGTCAGTGAAAGTACATCACAACAGCGTTCGACGGCAGACAAAATTCCGAGGACCAACCTGATGCGTTATATTGCAGCATTTGATGGTGTGAGCATCGACGTTACTACTGCCAATGCCGATGTAATGAAGAATTTGCTGGCTGAAAGCACGACGATGGGCACAAAAGCAGTGAGTTCTGATGGTTTGTTTCTTTTTCTTTCATCGAATAATAAATATATTTTTTTTTTATTTCAGATCTTCAATATTGAACAAGAGAAAGCGCTGATAAGCTACATTCTCCAGGCCAGCGACATCAACTATGGAATTAGTTTGATGGAGCTTCGTAAGCTCGCGTATGAATTTGCTCGGAAAGTTGGCGCGTCVTATCCGGATCCATGGAACGACAATCAACAGGCGAGTAAGGCAGTTGGCGTTCATGAAATGCCACAAAAATTTGTCACTGCGAACACCAGAGCAAGTAAGCCAAAGCCGTGCGAAGCGATTCAACAAAGAGAATGTCGATGCATTCTTTGACAACCTTTCATCCGTTCTCGGTAAGATGCCGTTTGAACCTCACCGAATATGGAACATGGATGAAACCGGGTACCCGACCGTGCCAACCAGACCTGTCAAAACCATCGCGCGCAAAGGACACAAGCAGGTCGGCTCATTAACATCTGCCGAAAAGGCACCAATGTGTCTTTGGCTTTTTCCGTCAGCGCTAGTGGCCAGTCTATACCGCCATTCTTCCTCTTTCCCCGAGTCAACATGAAAGAGATTTTTATGACTCATGCGAGTTGGTGTTGCGAACGGTTCTGGTTACATGAAATCTGACGTATTCCCTCAATTCATGCGTCATTTCATCAAGCACACCGGTGCTAATGCCGATTCGCCAACCATGTTGCTGCTGGACAACCACGGTTCGCATTTATCGATCGAGGCGATAGATTTGGCGTTGGATGATGGCATCACGTTGCTGTCTTTTCCGCCGAAATGCACGCACAAAATGCAGCCGCTAGATGTTGCGGTATTTGCACGATTTAAAGGCATGATGACCGTGAAGCATGATGCATGGAAAAAGTCCAACATTGGTGTCACTTTCGATCTGCATCAAGTGCCGCTCCTTGTCGATCAGTGCCTCGATGTTATGTTAACGCCGACAACCATCAAATCCGGCTTCCGAACAACTGGCATCCACCCGTTCAACCCGCAAATTTTCACTGAAGTTGACTTTGTCGCTTCGGAACTGAGCGGCGAAAATTTGTTCGGTGACGAAGAGACGCCGACAATCAACGTCGAGTTCTTGCCTCTGGTGATGCCATTGTGACTGCTGCGAATGAGGAGGTGTCAACGTTGGAGGCATCGACAAGTACCCCAGCTTCAACAAGTGGTGCTGCATCATCGTCCTTGTCTCTTGTTTCGGCTCCACAGCTCCGTGATGCAGTGAAATCGGTTGGCCCGTTGAAATTGGGCACACCTGCGCCGAAATCAAAACGTGGCCGCAAGACAATGGAGTCAACGATTTTGACAATGACGATGTGTGACAAGGCCGAAAAAAAGCGGCAAAAACTGACGAAGGCAGCCGATGAACCAGCAGCAAAGAAGCAAAAAGGCCGAGGCAAATCGAAGACGCCACGGAAGAGAAGCTCGTCTCCGACCGAAACCGACATCGAAGAGGACTTCGATTTTTGCACGATTTGCAAGAAAAAGATGCCGAAGCACGAGAATCGTCAAAACACGGCCCATTGCATCGTTTGTGATCGAGGGGTTCACTTGAAATGTGCCGGACCGAACCCGAAGACTTACACCTGCATCCACTGCGAGTCGGAATAATTTTTTTCGCCAATTCCTATTTTTATTATTATTTATGAATCTCTCTTTCATTTCCATTGATAAATAAACGTTTTTCATCGGTAACAATCATGTTTTAATCGATTTACAGCCCGACATTCCCCAACTTTTTTCAAAATCGCAAAATCAGGTTTTGTGCGCCAATAGCTATAACTTTTTAATTTTTGTAGAATTTTATCAAACCAATGTTATCAAAAGGAAGGTTACGACTCGCTGGCTGGAGATATAGTCTAATGTTGTGAGCTCTCAAACCACTCTTTGATGTCTTTCATGCAGAAGTACCCGTCATAAAGATAGTAGCAGATGTGCTTATCCGAAGTGCGACATCTTTCAGTGAGGTATGCCTCATCTCCGATAGCTGAGCTGCTATATAGGCCTTCACTCACTTTGTTAGTGTGCCTGGTCATCGAAAGCGTCGAAAACTGTAAAGCAGATGAGCTTGCAAGAAAAGGTACAAGTATTCAAATTCTGTCAAGATTTGAGCAAGCAGGGCCCTATCTTCGTGCACTCAGCCACTGGATCTTTAGGGTACGTGCATGCTCAGCAAGCATTGGCCAACTACAAGCACTTGTGGGGCTGCTTTCTCGATCCGAGTGGAACATAAAAAGGCCATCAAACTTTTATCTTTTAGGAAGTCTCATATTGCCGTATCCGGCGAATTGACTAGCTCTAGGTGTTCTCTTGATATGCGACGGTCTTTTTGTCTACATCCAGGATTTCGGGATATGATGGTACTAAATTTAGGGTCATCATTACCGCCCTCAAAACTTTCGTGTGAAGGTTTCCTAATATTTCTATTTCAGGTCAATGGAACCACAACAAACAGATCAAATCAGCAAATAAGCGCTGATGTTCACCACCAATCTCTCAGCTCTTTTCCAACTTTCTCCACTTTATTCGCTTTAATTGGGGTACAATTTCCAGTCACGTGCTTCGTTGCGTGTCAACGAAGTGCTGTTAGCAGCTCGGTACTAGTCTATGGCAGCAGGAGAAGCACCACTTACAACATTATCACCAATACTAACCTGTGCCACAACTGGTGGCAGGAAACGAAAAGTGCTGGCAATGGTCGAACGCAGGCGACCGCCGGAGCACTCGATTTGTGGCGGTCTTTTTCAATTTAATGAGGTGCTTATTTTAAATTTACACTCGCTTACGCTGCAGTTGTGGAGCGAGAGCGGACAGTTGTCACAAACGGCAAATGTTGCAAGACAAACGCAGGTGCACGTTGCTGAGGTCTGGAGGCAACTCCATTGACATCGGTGCTTGTGGCCTAGAAAGCCGGATGCTGCACTTTCAATAAACATACACTCCTACTCAGTCAAAGCCTTGTCGGTGTCTTTTTGTATGGATGGCTGAGAGTGTTTGCATTGGAGTTTATGCGCACCTTTTCTGTTGGTCGACAGATTCATGTCAACGTCGATCTGCTGTGCACAAGAGAAATGATGAAAAAAAAGAGAAATGTTTGCGGTAAAATAGTTTGCGAAAAGGATAATGACAGGATATTGCAATCCACAGTAGTTGAGGAACAGCAACATCTCAAAGTAATGGAGTTTAAACTGTTATTTAGTGTACATAACCTTGTGTAAATGGATGACGGAAAAAAAGTTCCAAAACATAGAAGGGTTAAACAACTTTTGCGGTATGAATTATATTTTGATTTTAATTGGGGAATTAAGTAAACTAGTTTGAAAGGAAGTTTAAGCATTAATTTTAATGACTTCTGTAAGCTTGCTTCTTGATTATTTAAAGTACTTCTTGTATTTCAAATATACGTAGCCTATAATCGGTTTGTTGCAGTGCGATCTATTCATGGCATATTCTGAATATGTTATTATTTTAAAATTGCGTTGCTGTAGTTTATTACAACAGAAGATCCCGCGTTCTAGTCCCATGTATTTCATTTAAACGACATAGGCTTTTACAACTCTGAAGGCTTCTAGGCTATTTTTTAGATGATAGTATTCTATCAAAAGGTCTTCCGGTCTTCCAAAGAAAATGGATCTTAGCTTTATGCTACCTTGGCTAAGATTTATCTCTTTCTGTGCTTCTATGGTTTCTATATTGAAGGGGAGTACTGTTCGTAGGTTATGTATGATAATTCTAGAAATAAGTTTCTCCTTTCTTGTTCCATCTTTGCCACTGTGATATATCCTGAAGAAATGCATTTTTATCTTTATTGATAAAAATGAATGCCCTTAGTTTCTCGATCATGAATAAGTGTGCTACTATTATTATACTCTTCCTCTTTATTCCAAAACATAGAAGGAGAGTTTGGGCAGAGTTCCTTTCGCTTCGTTCTGCGTTCAATTCCTTTTATGAGAACCGCTTTGCCTGTAGGTTTTGGTACGAGGTTCCGATTGTTTCCTTTTTACGAAAATTTCACACACCTCCACTATTTACTCTGCCACTTTATTTCCTCTTCGACAACACAAGTGCGGGCAGACTGAACTTCGGTAATATTATCAAAACTGACTGTCTTTTGGTACCAAATTTTTCTCAACCTTTAATCGATATCTTCTGCACGTATTTTCTCTTTTTGGAGTCTGTACATTTTAGTTGGTAAACATGGTTGCTTTTGTTGTTACGTTCTGTATAACTGCTGTTTCCAGCGACATACTACAGCTGGCATATTCGGGAGCATTTCTAATTGTCTCCTGACTGAAAGCGAAAAGAGTGTCTACGTTGGACATTTCTAGAGCTATTTTCTTTGTCATAGCGTAAGTCGTGAATGCATTAGTCGTTGCTCTTGTTAAGTCTTTCTTCGTTGTACTCATTTCACAGTTTATATCTCCGGACAAGGCAAAGCGTTCGCTCCCGGATGGAAGAATTGCACGGAAGTATTGATGCGTCAAAGTTGGCATATGAGACCACGGTTGTTGTATTTGTATTTCCATTCTTAGTACAATCATACCAAACCAGAATGGAAACTTTTTGCCGCCACTGAAACAACTAGAACAACACCACAAATCAGCTAAAGCAGTTGGTCAGATCGCTTTCTTTCGACCTTGATAAAAACTTGGAAGGGACCAAGTACGGAGAGATTATAATGGAAGGTTAAGTGTTTTTGAAAATATTTTGCGCTTTAAGCCAACCTAAATCCAAATTGTATATTAGACTCCTCTGGTACCATCTTCTTTATTGTGAAATTATCTGACTAGATTGTGAAATACAAGGCCTTCAAATCTTACCAAAGTAGATATAGTCTGAAAATTTTAATATACGAGGTGTGTTCAAAAAGTATCGCCAATTTTGTGTTTTTTCAAAAATTATTTATTTATTCATGAATATCTATTTTGTCCCCTTCAAAGTAATCCCCATGAGATATTATACACTTGTGCCAACGGCTTTTCCAATCTTCGAAGCACTTCAAAAAATAATTTTTTTTTTCTTCTTTAACTCCTCCTCCGATGCCGTCTTTATCTCGTCAAGAGAAGCGTAACGTCGTCCTTTCATGGGCCTCTTCAGTTCTAAGACAAGAAAAAGTCACAGGGGGCCAGATATGGGGAACACGGTGGCTGCGGCATCATTAGTGTGTTGTTTTTGGCCAAAAAGTCGCGCACACGCAACGATGTGTGAGCAGGGGCGTTATCGTTGTGCAAAAGCCAATTTTTGTCACATCTTCTCGGCCTTCTGAGAACATTTTGTACCACCGATAAACGTTGCTTCGGTCCAAGGTAGCTTCTCCGTATGCCACAGTCAACATTCTGAATGCATCCGCGCACTTAATTTCGTTTTTCACACAAAACTTGATACAGGTTCTTTGATCCATTTCTTTTAATAGGTAAAAATCGAAGACGATCCATGATCCACACGTGCAAGCAACGCAGCTGTCAACAATTAAATGAACATTCAAAATGGCCGAGCTTGTCGGCATAAGTGAGAGACATGAGTACCAACATAACGCCACAAAAAATTCGA